TACGACTGCTATTAAGTCAATGTGCGTGCCCAACATCAATTCCAACATTACGAACTGTTGAATGGTGAATTGTGTGGTCTTACAGAGAAGCCTGTCAAACGTTTGCAATTGCTAGAAATGACGCTCATTGGGACAAACTCTCATGATGCTGTAATATCATCAAAGCTCATTAAATCGAAATTGTTTTCTATAATCATATCATCATGCTTCCCATCAAACCCAATTGAACTTTGTGGATCAAGTAGAAAGATTATATGTGTGATGATATTTTGTATCAAATACGAAACTAGAAGGGAAATCCAATTATCACATCAGCTGAAGAAATATATAATAAAAGCATGGTTTCAATTGAGGACATGTGCTTGATGAGTAAACAAACTATTTAATTCAATTAGGCCTGGCCGCAGACCCAATCGTCCAATTGCATGACGCTTTTAACCCGAGAAATGAATCGAGAAAAACCGTATGATCTCAACACTTTGAAGAATAATTCCAAGCAAATCTTGCACTTTTGAAGATACAACAGAATATGTATTTGATACTCTTTATGAAAAGTAAAGAAATGAATGAAACGGTGAGGGATTTACCTCTTAGATGCACCTGGTGGTAGCAAGGAAAAACTTTTTTGAATTTCATTAATAGCCAACGATTCGCTCAAAAATTAAAATTGCATTTGCACTCGCTTCGTCCGGGAATCGCAGCAACTTGAAGGGTGGTCGAACAGCACATTCAGCCATTAAAATTGCCATTAAATATGCAAAGCAATGAAACTTCCGACCTCTGCAACATCAAGAACTCTGCCAATGGCAAAGGTCTTGGCAGCAATGTAAATTACTTGATTGGGATGAATGCACGACTGCACAATAAAAATCTTTGGAGGCTTTAGAACAACCTTAAAAGTCTACAGAGCAATCATAACAATTTGGTGGTGCAACTGATTTTATAGCAGGAGATTTTCGTCAAAACATTGCCAGCGATTCCACGATCAAACAACCCACTGATGAACTCGATGCATGTCTAAAAGTCCTCCAATTGTGAAATGTTCCGAGTACTTTATTTAGCAAGAATATGCGTTTCGACGTTGCACCAAACTGACCAAATCTGGAAACATATTCCTAAACCAACTCATTGACATTGGTAAATGGAAATCTTCCTATAGACATGTTGACTGGGCTGCATAATTTTCTCAAAGTTTTTGTCAGTAACCGATCAAATGAAGAAGCTTATTCAGAGGTGTTTCCAATGTTTCTCAAAGATACAGAAACCATGATTGGTTGAGCGAACGAGCTATATTGGCTGCAAAAACATTGATGTAAATCGAATTAAATTTAAAAATTCAAGAACAAATTACAGGCGAATCGAGGATATATAAATGAGTTGATTTGGCTACTAACCAAGAGATGTAGTGAACTACCCCACCAGAATTTTTATACTCCTGGATTTACCAGCTTGCCTCCTCACAATCTTTAATTACACGGTTGGATCGGTAAGTTATAATGTTGCGAAATATCACCAACCACGTCTTTGGCAACGGCACACGGTTAGCCGAAAAAAATTAACTAAACAACGTGATAGAAGCAACTTCTACTGAAAGGAAAGTATAAAGGAGAAGACGTTCTCATACCGTTGCATCCAATGATTCCGACTGATGTGCCGTTTAACTTAAACGATCTACAGTTTTCCAGTTCGGATTGCAGGGGCAACATTAAGTGTTTTGTGGTTGAATCTGGAAACCCATGTTCTCACATCGTCAGTTTGTATGTTGCCCTTTCCCGTGTTTGGAAAACCATCCAGATTTGTTGTCTATGCGCAAGGTAATCAAACAAAAAACATTGTATATCACACTAAGCACTACATGAAAATAAAACTGTTGTATTAAAAATTTTTGTTTATAAATTATGATTCAATGATTAACAAATAAACAGCGATTACTTCTTTTAAATGCTTAAAATATGTTTATTTAATTATATTTCTATTCACAACGCCTATCACCAGGGTGACGGTTCTGCTCAGGAGATTTTTGCCAGACTCAAAATATGTAGGAACAAAAAACATCGACATTACAAATCTTTTGGACAAGACGAAGTCTGTGGTCGGTCCCTAGTATATAATAAAAATATATTATTATTTAATAATATGAATAATAATAATAATTGAATAATAATAATACATACTAATAATAATACAATAATAATAATAAAATAAATAAATAATATAATAATAATAATAATAATAATAATAATAATAATAATAATAATAATAATAATAATAATAATAATAATAATAATAATAATAATAATAATAATAACAATAATAATAATAATGCGAGGCTAACGCCAGTGTGCCTGCTCTTCCGTCTAACCACTGAATTTACATACACACTTGTACAGAGTAGTAACATTTTAAGAGAGGAAGACAAGCTGTACATTTACTCTGTCTCTGGGAGCACAACACTAGGGTCCATTCCGGCATACGCTTTAAGCGATTGTGTAAACCCAGAAAACCTCAATCAAAATGACGGATTAGGGTCGAACATGATCATATCACGGAGAAAAGTGGAAGAGAAGAGAAACATAAATGAAAATGAAGAAGAAAATCCGAAAGAGAAAGAAGAAAGAGAGACTAAGAGGGGAGGCAAGCTGTACATTTATATCTAGGAGTGCAAGACAAGGGACCATCCAGCCGTAAGCGATTGAGTAAACCAAGAAAAAACAGGATGGCGGCTTAGAGCAGAATATTAATAGAATTGAATATGTTATGCATAGTTGTTAAAGAGAAGTTTAGTGAAGAAGAAAAGAAAAGAAAAGACGTTCAGGGGAAGGTGTCATAAAGTAAAAATGGGGAAATTTGTGCAGGAAAGGGAAGAGAGAAGAAGCGAAGAAAAGAAGGAAGAGGAGGCGAAAAAAGTGAAATTATTCGAAGAACATTACAGAAAGCTACGTTTGGTTTATATTATCACTTTACATAAATATAAAATCATTTTAACTACAGAGAAGCACAATACACTACAAGCCGATAACAACAGTGATTTGAAATACAATATTGACAGTATTAAGGAGCAATATGAAGTATGCTAGGATCTTAATATCAATTTTCTTATGCCTATATATTATAATAAAGATTATGATGACAGTACAAAGATAGCTACTAGTATATTTTATCTGTAACGCCGTTAATATTTTTTGTATATTTTCCTAAAGAATTTCATTGGGATACACAGAAAATAATAATTTTAATAATCTACATAGATGTTTGAAACTGGGGAAAGTACGGTGTTAACCGGGAGCGGTGTCCGGGCACTTGGAAATGAGAAAAATGTGGAGATTGAAGACGTTAACGCCATTCTATACGTCGTTATTCCTTGCCCATGTGGTTAATTCGTATTTGAATTTACGGAAACTATTTGAATGTTTTAGACTCGCTGGTACTTTATTCCAGACGGATAGCTATAATGGTGAATGATACCGAACGAAGTCGTGTTGTAACGTGGTACACAAAGTAGAGCTGAATCATGAGCTCAATTTTGTTTTAGAGGATTGAAGTTACTTATGAGGCGTGTTGCATGAGAACCGTTTAAAATTTTATAAAGAAGCAGTACAAAGTGGTCGTGTTTTCTTAGATCAAAAATAAACCGTACGCATGCGTTCTGGGTTACTTGACGTTTACGTTGTAATTTGAATGTCATGTTAATCAGAAAAAAGTCTGAATAGTCGAAATGTGGCATGATAAGTATTATATTGTATTCACTCTCGCTTCGTGACCTCCCCACTTCCTTTCTCGCACTGTCCTTGGTTTCTTTACCTTCACTCCATGTTTATGTTACGCCTTGGGCTGCAGTTCAGGCAGTTTTGCTGACCATGAGTATTGACGCCGCCGCTTGCCGTTGGTTCCTGAATGACTCGACTTCACGTTTCCTCGATGTTGATTCAGAGAATCATACTGTTGACAGTTTAGTCCAACTGGCGGTCCGCGGTGCCATTATTGTGGTCCGCAAAGGTTATTAGCAGTGGTGGCTGGTGCCTCTAATTAATAGAGGAACTGCATGCAAAATTAGAAAATGAACTACCTTAATTAATTATAAATGAGCTCCACATAACGAGTTTTGTACGTTGCTAATTTATTTATGCCCTTGTTAAAATTTGCTATGTCGTTGAGAGCTGCCCTTTCTATAAAAAACATTACTAGTGCACTAATCTTTCTTCTCTTTGTACTTCTAATTGAAGAGCTAACTGAAGTACCCCTTGGTACTTCTAAGGTAACTTTTTATTCCCTTCATAGCTGATAAACATCGCTCTGGCTCGCTAGTCGTTGTTGGGATAGTTACCGCAGTTCTCAGGAGCTTCATAAATTCTGAAAAAGATGACTTTAGATTGTTTGAATTAATAAAATGAAGAAGTTGATTTGCGCCTGATAATTTTTTTTAATTCTCCTCTTGAATAAAGAACAGAAAGTTCCGAATGCAATTTCTCCATATCAATCTATACCAATAAAAGTGAATTTAACGACATGTTATCGACTTGGATTTCACAAGAAGGAATTGATGAGTAGATACAAAATATTTACAAGCTCTTTGTCAGGATTTGACGTAGTGCTCATGCAAAGTTTGGACCACACAATAAATAAATTATTTAATAATATTTTTAAAATGAAAATAATTTAATAATATGCTGGTAGATACCCCACGATCATTATTTTTCGCTTGTCGTTAAGAGACAGGTAAATTGGTAATTGGTCTCAGTTTTAAGTAACTGTAAAATTGCATTAAATAAACATTGTCAAAATTGATATTCTTAAAGAGAGAATGGATTGTATCCTTACAAACCAAATAGTTTTTCTGATTTACTAATTTCTATAATAACTAAAGGTGAAAGATAGGTAATATTATATAATTATAATATTTTTATCTACTAATGGGGGCCAACTAGGGGACTGCCTCCTCGTGGTGACCCCTGTGTAATGTTAAAGATTCACAAAACTAATGTAGCACTCCTTCCACTTACTTACGCTGCATTTTTATAATCTTTGCTATTTGGTCCCTCTTGATCCCTTGTTATATTTTCGACCCCGACGCTATTAGGTTTCGAGGGCTAGGGTGTCATAACTTTTTTAGTCTTTCTGTTCTCGGCATTTAATAGACAGGGCTATCGTTCTGGAATGAAAATATAAAAAAACTAAATAAAGAAAGAAAGAAGCGTACCGTATTTAAAGACTCTTTCATCTGCTGGGAATATGAATCATAGAATAGAATATAAAAGAAAATCTGCTTTAGTTAAAAGAGAAGTCCGTAAACTTAAACGTGAAAGTCGGTAAAGATATGTTAGCGAAATTGAACATGACTTATTTGGAAACCAAAATAAAGCATATAAAATTATAAAATATTTAAATAATGAACAAAGAGTTTGAATATCTTCATCTATATATTCAATCTATATATTCAACTGAATATAATTTCAGAAACAAATGGCTAAATTATTTTAAATCTCTGTGGACTTCTGAAGAAGAAGAGATAGGAATTAAAATTGATATGTGTAATTCTAAAGATCTGATCTCTAAGGACGAGTTTAAGGCAGCTATTAACACAACAAAAATAAAAGTTACCTGGTACTGATAATATAAACATGGGATTGATCAGATATGCGTCGAATCAATTTATGCAGACACTTCTCATATTTATTAATATCTGCTGGTACAGTGGATATGTGCCGAAAGAATGGAATGAAGCCCTAATTTACCCACCTACCTAATTTACCTAATTTACCCCACGCGACAAATCTGAATGTTCAAATTACAGAGATATGTCTTCTAAATTCTTGTTACAAATTCTATTCCAACATTATAAATCAAAGATTAGTGCCTATTGTTGAAACTCAAATATCTGAAACACAACATGGTTTTAGAAAAGGGAAATCATGTTTAGATTGTATTTTTGTATTGACAACTTCCTGAAAAGCAAAGGCAAAATAAACTACCGACGTACTATGTCGTCACTCGTTATATAAAAACATTTGGCAGCCTTAAAAGAATATAATTATGGGAATCCCTTCTCATCTTATCACAGCAATTCAATAATTATACAGAAATAATAAAATGAAGATCCAAATGCTAAGAAATGGAACATAAACAGCTTATATGAAGCAGGGAGTAAGTAAGGGACGCCCGCTGTTACCAACACTTTATATATATGGGGGGGAGGGCTTTACTTGGGAATTGTTAACACGCTTTTCCGATATTTCATGTTTATGTATATTTTTAATAATTTTCTTCATGTCACTCATACCTTTTTCTGTCCACGTCCCAGTTGCTGGACTACCTGAAGCTCTAAGAAGATAAAACGGCAAACAAAAAAGCGCATTTTGGGACTCTTAATCACCCAACAACTCGTTTTTCTTTGAAATTGAATGTTCCATCAACAACTAGATCCTTAGTGATCACTGTTGGATTGAATGTTATGGTAACGTCATAGTGAAGTCAGTCAAGATGACATGATACGGTGTTAAGGGGTGAAAGGACGAACACAAATACAACCATATCCGAGGCGGGACTCGAACCACTGATCCTTCAGTCCGAGATCGCTACTGCACTAGTGCCGTAACGATTTCGGCCATCATATGGCACAACCGGAGGTTTTTTTATATATATCCATATTGAAAGTTCTCGTATATATTGTTTCTGATGTCCCGCAACAGATTGAGATATGTATGTTCAGTAACTATGTAGGTTTTCCGCAAACTTTTATATCGCACTTTTCTTTAAGAGTTAAGATTATAAATTTCACAGCTTTTAAATATTCAATAGAATTACTATTCGTATCCAGTGATATGGTGTACGGCGGTTAACTCGGAGCAGCTGAGTTCGATTATCGGAAAAAAATAATTGCTGGTTGAACACAATTTAATTGTGTCCCTTACGCTATTCAAAGACAAAGTTTAATGAAAACATTTGGAGCCATTTTTGAAAAAAAATTAAAATGTCGTTGAAGTTCCATGTAAAGAACCGTCATGAATGAAAATATACATTTTGCGCCTCGAATTCTTATAAATTGATCGGGGAACATCAATTTTCGAGAAAATCGACTCAATGGTTTAGTTTAGGCGCTAGCGTTGATCACTGTCGGACAGACAAAGAGACAGACGGACTGACGTTTTGCCGTCAATCGATTTTTCGATACGAATACCTAAGGACCTACAAAACAGGGATTGTGACAACACATGGGTTAGAGGAAGTAATTTACTATATATTAATACAAGATTTTTCCACTTTTGCGTTACGAGGGCGGGCAATTCCAGTTTTTCTGGTGAAAATGAGACCTGTGCCGTTTTTACGCGTCAGTTGTTGAATCGGCGGAAATAGTTTATTGAAAAAAATGGATGCCTTTGAAGTAAATTTTGAAAACGTTAAGAATTAATATAAAGTACCTATAGAAATAAAAAAAAAATTCAAATTCCCCGTATTTGAATTCATCCAGGTCTTTTGAGTAATAACAATTTTATCAATACCCTTTTAACGGTTTAGGTGGCGTACTCGGATCGACAGGCGAGTTTTGCCGTCAGATTCGATATCATAGACCTTCAAAAGATGGATTCTAACTACACAATACGTTGCAGGAGTTGATTTACTACAAATAGGAACAAAATTTATTCACTTAGCTCAGTGATGTCAAGGTCTTCCTCTGGTGGCTGTAGCACGCTTCGTGGCACCGTGGCAGACACAAGTTTCTCAGCGTATTAGCGTTGGCAAAAGAAACTATCAGTAGCAACCCTGCTCTCAGAAGGCAGTGTAATACAATTTTTCGACAGATCACAACTTGCAAATTTAATAGATAATGCTGCTTGAATAATATCTATGTATAGTAACAAATATGTTTGTGGAACAAGCATTTTCAACAATGAAATTGCTAAAAAACCATCCCGAGTTTCGGTTAAGTATGGGGCCCTGGTACCGAAGAGTGGATAAATCCTGCTTCTATATACAATAAATTACTTCCTCTAACATGTGAGGCAGAATACATGTTTTGAGGGTCCTTGACACTGAAACTGAAAAATCGTTTGACGACAAACGTCCGTCTATCCGTTCGTCCTTTCGTCAGTCTCTTCCGTCCGTCTGTCTGTGGTTAAAGCAAGCACCAAAACTGTTCAGCCGATTTTTGCCAAATTGATATTCTTCAACCAATTTAAAGGAACAGACAGACAGACGGATACACTACGTTGCAGGAAGTAATTTACTATAAACGAGTAGCAACAGGATTTATCCACTTTTTCGTTATCAGGGCTGGGCAATAAGAGTTTTTCTGCCGAAAATTCTCCGTTTTCCGACGCAAATTACATAATTTTCACTACTTACGATGTACGCTCGTAAGGAGGAGAAAGTAAAAATCAGTTCTTAAAAAAGAAGGACATGTTTTATTTTTGTAAGAATATGAGTAGTTTAGCGTAATTTTCAAATAAGTAAGTTCGTATTTCTCGCGTTACATTTGCGTTCATGCCTTCATGCTAGCCTTCATGAGATACGAGATGGGAATGCGACAATGGAATGCCGCGGCTAGGCAATTGGAAACAATGAGAATTGATTCTCATTGTTGGGAATGTTATAGCTGAATGAAAAGCAGTTTTGACTGTGGAATTTGTATTGATGTATTAGCTTTACAAGATGTCATTTTCGCACCTAATGTTGTACGATTTGCAATAAGTTTTAGAAGTGAAGTGTGGGAGGTGTTAATATTGAGAGAATTTGCCGTATTGTATTGTGACATAACTATTAGTAAGGGCGAGAAATTACGTGCTGTTGTAGCACGGGCGATAAAAAAAGGTTATGCTGCTCCCATTTTCGCCGAACTCTCTGTATTTTCAAAACTTGCAGAAAATGAACATTGCAAAAGTAAAATATTGATGATGCAGAGTTTGGCTTAATGAAATATGTTCTTTAAAACTAGATAGTGAAATAATCAAAATGAAAACCTCTGAATTTTGTAAAATTGCAAAAGTTACTGTTCAACTTTTCTTAAGCGTTGGGAAGATTGCTGCGATTGTAGCTTTGTGGCTGGTGATGGAGGGGTAATATGAAAGGCGTGCTATGTCTAAAAATGTGTGTTCTCATTCAAGCGCGGAGAAATTCTTTTTGTTGGATTATGGCTACACCACGTTAGAGGAAGTAATTTTTTATATGCACGTTCATTTATTATAATATTGAGTAGCCGGTACGTTACGTAACCGTATGTGCTGTTATAACACCATTTCATACTAGAATAACTAAAGACACACTTTCATAAACGAAAGAATAATAACAATGAGATTTAAAGTAGATAGAGGTTACGATTCAGTTTTGCCTTATATGCACCAGAAGAAGGGCATGCGATAAAATTCTACGAACCCTTTTACCCCAAGATGGGATAAAATTCCACGAACAACTACAGACAGTAATAAATAAGATTAATAAAAGTGATTATCTTCTTTTAATAGGTGATTTAAATACAAGAGTAATTATATAGATCTGATCTCTATGGATGAGTTGAAAGTAGCTATTAACACAACAAAAATAAAACGTCACCCGGTACTGACAATATAAACATGGAATTGATCAGATATGCGTCGAATCAATGTATACTCTGAGCGCAGTGCCTGTGAACTCGTAGTAAATTAGTTATCTCCCCCACGAGCTCGGAGGTTACGAGGGGAAATAATATTGCATTGTTTGTGTGTTGTGGGTTGCTTTTTTCCTGTTTTCGCCCCTGCATCATAATCTGGAAACTATTTTTGTGTGTCTAAAAAGACTTTAATCCAGAAGCGAATGTTTATTCCCTATTCCAAGTAGTAGAATAACGGTGTTTTGTGTCGATTGTTTCTTGAAATTAAAAAAATACAAACTTTCCTTAACGTATTGCAATGTACTAGCTGGACCCTTACGAAAACCTCGCACCTTGTAAATAATTGTTTTAAAAATGAAAATTGCTTCAAAATGGAAACCACTTTAAATACTCAGTCCTTAAACTGTACGTATTGCAGCAGCAGTACTGGG